GGTTGGCGTTACCGGAGCACGTGCCCGTTAAAAAAACTAAAATATTATGTTCTTGGATCGGGTCCAGTAATATGCGAGATCGCGACGGTGATCGGTAGCAGTGGCGGCAGAGAAAAATTTATAATCTAGTAATAATAAATCAACATCAGTTGGTAAAACCAACAAGAGGAGGTTATTTGGCTTTGGGAACAAAGGTAACTTTTTTTAACTAAGTTTATTATTTACATATTAAGCCTGTTTCATGACACATTTTTTAGTCAAAACTTCACAAACGAATGTGTACAAATATTTGCACCACACATAGACGTAACTACGATTTTGAAGTAAATGTAAGGGGGGGGGGGCTTGAGTAAAAATTGTCCATTTTTTTTAATTTGTCTAATGTATTTTTGATGGGTTCCAGTAGGAGGGTGCAGTATAAACACGTTTACTAGTTACGCCGGTAGATATTTGCACAAATACAAAAATTCAAAAATTCAATGATTATTCACGGTTAATGTTATGATTGGCTGCTTACAATTTTATTTTTACATTAGATAAAATTGGACATTCCCTCTTTTCCCCGCGAAATTAATAAATTTTGTTCGTTGATTTTGTTTTATTATTAACTTCTGAATTTTTTTTTTTTTTTGTTAATATTTATTTCAGTCCTGCATGTTCCGAGTTTGTTACGCCCAAGTTTCAACTATAAATTGTTATAATATACATTAAAATACGAAATTATAATTAATATTTGTAAATCCACAATATCGCAATAATAAATTATGTCTTTTGAAAATCGTGTAGGAAGGTATAATTATAATTAAAATAAAAATGCTTTTATAAATTTATTAAAACGATCCATATATACTACCGAAGACTTCAGTTTTCAGCAGTTGATGTACTTACCAAATATGTTGAATGTTGATCATCATTAACTAGTTTAGAAATTAGATATGCCTCTATAGTTGTGTGTATTATATTATTAATATACCGATATTGTAACCTACATAATATTATGTAGTAAATTTAGCTAAATAAAGTTTTTGCTGTAAAGCAGATTATTTATAGAATATATAAAAAAAAAATCCTTGTTTGGAGTGGATGTGTTCTCTTTTTTTATTTTTTTTGCTTCAAGTATAAAAAATGACCAGCACGCAACTGTTCCCAGGAACATGTATTTTCAACCTGACTTATACCTAGAGTTCCTATTAGTATACTAATAATGTCATCGTTATACCTGAATGAATTATATGCATAAGATAATTACTAGTTTGCAATTTTATTTTATAATATTTTGGAAATCTTTTATTACCGAAAATATTTGACACAAGTACTTAAATTCGTAATATTAAATTGTTTAACCATAGGCGCAAACAAATTGTTTAAAGGAGGGAGGGGCAAGTATATATGTTAGTTACCATTTTTTTTCGTACTATCATTTTTGATTTTTAATCTATTTAATGTATCTCCAAGAAGGTCAAATTCCCCCTTCTGGTGTCTATGTTTAATCATTTTCATTCAAAATCTAAAATATCGATTTTGTGGTTTAATTGGTTTTCGATGATTTTTGCAATTGGTAACCATTAAAAATCAATATTTTATTAACTATCTTTTTTAAATTTCTTACCTTTAATTGATTAATATTAGATACATTTCTCTAGGCTGGGATATTACTAATATAATAATACAGTAAAAGAAAAACAGAAATAATATTAACATTTTGGCAAAAATTCTATTAAAATATAAATTATCGTTTACTATAAAATTAGAACTAAAATACATCATTATGTATTATGTCTTTATGTCTATACCTTCGTTAGGCCACTCAGAGTGTCCCTGTTTTATTTACCATAATTTAAAATTTATTTACAAATAAAATGGGAAGGTTGTAATCGCGGCCTTAACCCAAGAACAAATAATAAAATAACTCATAGATCTTATGAAATATTTAGCTTCTTGTTAGTCGTTTTGCCTATAATATATTTTTAACATATAATAATATATGTACACCAATGTTTTATTGTTTTACTTGTCCAAGAAAATATTTCAAAATACACGTGGGTCGATGGTAATTTCTTTTTCATACGAATTTCCATATACATTTTAGTCAAGGTTAATTCAAAAAATAAAAAATAATTTTGTCTGACAATTGATAAGACTGCTATTTTTATTTGTCCTTTTACTCAAATTCGCAGTTAAAATATATTGGATTCAACTAGAAATTGGCAATATTCAAATGTAGATTATGTTAGACAAATTTTTGTTAAAAACTTAAAACTAACATAAGCTCGGAGATTACTTGTTTGTATATTGCTGACAATATGTTGCGATTCTAAAGCTATTCATTACTTTGCCAAATCCTAAAACAAATAACATTAGAAAAATATTAATTACATTTTTATCAAATCATTGACAAATATATTCTAATAAATAAATATAAATTTACCGAGTGTGGATTGATTGCATTTTAGTTTAGATACTTTAAAATATACATTTTTTTCGCCATTTTAATGTAAAATATATTAATATTTTTCTATATATGTTTTAATACTCCTATTTTGTATTATGTATAGTATTACAACTCAGGGACGAATCTAGGAATTAAATTAAGGGGAGGGGGCTAAATAAATTCACTACCCATGTCCGTTAAAAGTGTATTTTTAATATTAGTTATAGTTTATATACTATTTTTAAAGTGACTAAGTAGTAAGGGGAGGGGGTTATTTAGTCCTCATAATTTCCCTTATATTCGCCCCTGTTTTATTTATTTATTTCATATGAATCGTACAATATGACATGAGGAACACATTTTATTATACCTGCTTAGTATAAACACAAAATATTTTACGAATAACTTAAGACATAGATAATAAGTATGTATAAAAATAATAAAAATAATATAAATAAATAATACAAATATTAATAGGTAATGCTATGAATATAAAAATAATATAATATACAGAAACAGTTGATATAGGTTAAAGATTTAGAATATTTGTATTTTGGACTTATCTAAATACACCCCAGTTATAATTCACTTACTTTCAAAATCGTAATTGTATTTGAATTTTAAACACGTTATAAGTTTAAATTTGTTGAAAAATTCAATATCATTTGTATGTTATTTACCGCAATTCTCACTTTGTTTATCCTAACCTAACCTAACTGACATTTTCGGAAGAATTTATGAAATATTTGAAGGATTCACATTAATTCGTCCCAGGAATAATCATATAATTGAAAACAATTAAAAGTATATATTTTATGTGTTAGTATGTTATCGATATGATTTTTAAAATTGTTTTAGTAAAATCAAACGGTTGAAGACCAGTTAGGTATTATATTTAAAATTTCTGTACACGAACATGTGGTATAAAATATACTATGTAGTGTAACCTTATAAAGTTTTTTTTACTAACTAAATCACACGTGTAACTAATAAAATCAGTAGTTACTGTATAGTTGGCAAGCGAATAAAATATGACCCGATTAATTATTCTCTGACATGTTGACGGGTCAGCTGCATGAAGAATTTTGTATTCAATGGCGTTTTGCCAGTGAATATTCTGTTGTTGTTTATTTTTTCGCTCGTCTCGATGAATGACATTCGATGTTCATATCTTATTGTTCGATATTTATAATACGTTTTATGCAATATTGAAATGTTCGCGAGACTTACTTCTTAAACTAAAATATTACTTGGTATAATTTAAACTGTGCTTAAATCTACCAAAAGCGCGGTACTAGACTTTCGTGGTTTGGGAAGCAAGCAAATATTGTAATTCACTCCAAGGGGTTGACGATCGCTGGAAATTTTGAAAATTTATTTTTTCAAGTTATTCTATTTTATTCACAATTATGTGGTTTTTGACGCTGAGAACGGTGGTGAAATTGGGGGCTGTGCTTATTTTCAGCTATGGAGTTTTGTCAAAAATAATAATCCCAATATTTTTTGAAGATATTGATATAAAATCTTGGAAATTATTGATTTAAAAAAAAATTCCATAGATTATAATAATTTAAAATTTACTGAACATATTGTTTTAAACATAAGTCTTTAAATGATGTTTAAAAATAAGTTTTAAACATTTAGAACAAAATCAATATTTTTTTTTGATGTTTTAAACATAACAACCCTGGTTAAACATGTTTTACAATGCCAGGATTTATATGATTTTCATAAAACTGCAGTGATCTTTAAACTCTTGTGAAAGAAAATTTTAACTTTACGCTCAATTTGTTTTTTTTTTTTTTGTACTAAGTACAATCTACGGTGAACATTGAAGAAAATTTCACCAAAACATTTTTTTTTAAAAATTCGGAAAATATTATATTGGATGCAGGTACCTAGGTACGCAATAAAATGTGATTTTTAAGATATTACATCAAAATTAAAATTTTACGAAGTTATAAAAAAAAAATGGTTTCCATGTATTATACATATTTTTATAGTTCCATAAGAACAACTTATAATGAACAATGAATTAATGAATTTTCTAGTATTTGTGAAGTCATACTTAGTAGTACCATCTAATACTAAATAATAACTTAAAAATTTCACACGCTTATAAATTACCTCAAAAATTTATTTGAAAATTGTATCATGTCTAGAAAGAGCTAATTAAATAAGTATTTAGTGAAAATTTCAAGTTTTTACGATTATTTGAACCGAATTAAAAGAAAAAAAAAAACATTTTCCATTTTTCGATATTTTTCAGTTTTTATTAAAACAAATTATTATGAAAATTACAAAGAAAATGTAAAAATGACTTCATGATTCCATCAAACAGATAACAATATTTTAAAATCTAAAAATTAATTCTCTTATAGATTTTTGGATAGAAAAAACAGATACAACATATAAAAAATAATAATAATAATAGAAAATCATACACGCTTGAAACTTTAAAAGGTTTTGTATAATATTATGTTTATAAAACAAAACATAAATTCGATTATAAATATTATTGGAAAAATGTTTGGTTTAAATAACTATAAAAAGCCCCATTGAATACAACGTCAGGATGGCCGAGCGGTCTAAGGCGCCAGACTCAAGGTTACCTTGTTCGCCATTGCGGTGAATCTAGTTGAGCGTTCTGGTCCTCTTTGAGGGCGTGGGTTCGAATCCCACTTCTGACAAATTTTTTTTGCATTTTTTTCCTCTTTTTTTTTAAATTTCTTTATTCTTATATTTTGTATCTATTTGAAAATTAATTATTTTTAATATAATCAAGAAATACACAATATAATATGCATTTAACTATTAATTTAAAAAATATATGATACTACTGATAAAATTTGTAAGGTCGTAATATTTACATTTTTTTTTAATATTTGATCTTAAAACATTTATAGAAAAAAAATTACTATATTACTCTCTGAATAATAATTTCTATCATTTTTACAATTTTTGTAAAAAAATGTTTTGATAAAAGACAAGTAAGGCAAGCAAAATAAGGCTATTAACATAATTTAAAAAATATTAATTTACCACTGATATCACTTTATAAAAAGACTGATATACTTGGCACAATAGGTGGACTACTGTTTTAGATGAGAAGTTGGAAAGGTAGGATATAGAGTGGAATCTAATATATATCTGTACGCGCAACGATTAATCATTGCTAACTAAAAACGAATCTGAGTGAAGTTCGGTTATACATGATCTGAAAGGCTGTAAAATATACGATTTTTGTCAAAATTTGATATTAAAATTTAAAAAAAAAAAAATTTTTACATTAAACTGCATATTTTTTGACCATAAACTACAAAGTACGACTTATAGTGAACCTCTAGTAAAGTTTCCAAGCATTTCTATTTGATCTAACAATTTTATCCACATAGTATTTACTGAATAAAAATTACGTAAAAAACTAGCAAAATTTAAATGCCTATCAATAGCTTAAAAATAGCTCAAATGTTTTAAACATTTTACCAGGTCTAGAAAAGGCAAATATAAAGTTTTTTCCATATTTAAAATCTCTACGAATATTTTTAACTGAATTACAACAAAAAAAAAAAATTGAAAATATTAAAATCATTATTTTTGTAAATTGTCCAGTTCTTTCTAATACGATATTTTTCAGTTTTGCTCAATTATGAAAAAAACAACGGAAAATTAAATAAATTTTAACGCATTTTTTATTTACCTACTAGATTAAAATTTCAACGAAAAAAGGTTACTTGTGGTATTTTTATGGAGTAATATTTCTGGTAGAAAACATAAGTTACAAAAATGTAAAATCGTGAAATCTTTACGCCGTAAATATTTGTCCGTTTAAAGCAGCAACTAGATGAAATTTAATTTCAAAAAAGACGTCTTACGTTTTTCGCCGTTTCCCCTCGTTTTATCCGGTTTTTCACATTTGCTGAGAAAACTCTTAAGAAAATCGAACAATTTCCTCTTTAAAGTACCTCCCAACGCCGATTTCCTTTTAGAAAAGGTGCTACACGTAGAAATCCGAGCAAGTATTCTGGTAGAAAAGTTGCGATCGGATAATAAAAAAACAAATTAAAATAAACATCTTTGTAAAACTATAAGCTTCTTCGCTTCACTCAGAATCTAAAAGGTGCTACACTTAATACATCGGATCAAGATTTCTGGTAGAAATTTTGTACACAGTATAAAAAAAAAAAATCATTGTTAAACCAATACATTCCTTGCTTTAGTATTAGTGTCTAAAATGATAAATAAAATAAAATTGAAATCATTGAAAATAATGAAACTTTTATCGCTTTTAACATGAACTTTGTACTTACATAATATTAAAATTAAATATTTAAATGTATTATTTATCTATAAAAAAATATTGTTAGCAGAGCGTGGTTTCGATCCACGGACCTCTGGGTTATGGGCCCAGCACGCTTCCACTGCGCCACTCTGCTAGTTGCCTTTTACTGTGATAAACGTGTTACATATTTTATGTGCCTTTCAGCCTTTGTAACCCGTTATGATTTAGTTTCAACTCGTAATCAGAATAAAACAAAATTTAATTTCATCAAAAATAATTTATTAGATAATAATAATAATAATACACTGATAATATATGCTGTCTTCTCTCTAGAAAATTATTATTAACAAAACCCCTCCCGAAAAAAAATTTTGTGTGCGCTACTGAGTGCGCGTGTCATACTTGTTAAGTATGTCCGTTATTCACTCATTATGTTTTATTTACTATTTTGAGTAATTTAATTTATTAATGAAATCGTTGAACTTATAAAAACCTACAATCTCGGTGAATTGGCTGAAAAAGGAAGGACCGATTTTGGTTGAAAAGAGAATTCACCTTTTTAAATTTGACCAAAAACGTGAATAGTAAAAGATCACGCCCACCATGATTATAGTACTAATAAATGGGTTAGATTCAAGGTTCACCAAGGAAAGTCTGGAAATGGTAAACGCTGTAGGCACGATGATGTTAAATATAAGATTACATCAAATCAATCTGTATGGGTTTCTACAAAGTCTATTTTTAATCTCCCACGAAGGACTTGTCATTGAAATGGAAATTTTAGGAAAGTATTCAACATTTTTTAGACGGCTCAATAACAAAATAAGTTTACAATTGGTTACATTTTTTAAAAAGAAAATTAAAGAGAAAACGTTTTTCCAAATTTTAAGAAGATTTTAATAGATTTTGCAACTACGCCTATCACAATTTGTAACAACTAACGTAAAAGGGTATTTATTAAATAAACGGTTGTAAAAACAAAACTTTGAAGAAAGGCTGGGCTCCTATTTATTATTGTTTGTTGAACTAGAAAATTTAATTAACATTCAGATAAAAAAAAGCACCTAATTAATAAGTTCAAAAAATCAAAACTATGAATAATGAATTATAAATTGGAAATTATGTGTATTCAAAAGTCAAATTGTGTCATTAATAAGTACCCACCTACCCGTTACCTATAACCTGTAAAATTGAAAACGAATTAATTGAATTTAATTTTTCAGTGTAAATACACGTGTTTTTAAATAAAATAAATAGCTATTAATTTTTGGTGTTGACATTATTATTTACCGTAAAAGTCTGTTGAAAATGAACTTTAAAATAAAAAGTGTCAATAATCACAAAAAAAAAAAATAAAATCAAATCAAATAGAATGGTGCGTTGCACTCGACCGGGGACTGTGCACGCGCCTATGGGGTTGCGTCCGAGAACCGCGCACACACGGTTTCCGTCCGCAAAAAGGTCGGTAGGCAAAAACCGCACACTTCATCGGTTGACAGGCGGGGACATCGTGTGGCCAAACACCGCTGCACCTACGGTAGGGTAAAACCGTACGCTAATTATAAATTAAAATATGGTACAATATATTGTTCTACGAACACGTTGTCCGTCCAACTGAAAAACGAAAACAAGTTAGCTGACGGGCGCATTTTTATTATTAGTAATACGGTAATTTTTTATTGTGCTGTGTTTAATTGTAGGAACACTTGTTTAAACGTCGGGAAGAATTTTCGAAGGACGGGGATCGTCTAAAATGTCTAAAAAAAAACACCGGCTATCGATTCCTACCAATGATAATTATATAGACATTTTTTTTTTTTAATATTTTTTATTCCTTAAAAAAACGTCGAAATTTCGATCGTTTTTTTTTTTATTTGATTTTATGTCGATTATATTTTATATTAATATTTAACATCACCAATTAACGTACAATTATAATATATGATATTTTATTTTTTACATATTTTTAGATTAACAAATAATAGATTATATATTATTATAAAATGTGCGATTTTCGGATATGAAAATTTTGAAAATAAGTAAACACATTATTGCGTTCGCGAACGTGTAGAAATACATTTAATGTTCACCGAGGTCGGGTCCGATTGTTAGCCTATAGCTAAAATACGTACATTTTCGACCGCACATGTCAACTAGCAGAGTGGCGCAGTGGAAGCGTGCTGGGCCCATAACCCAGAGGTCCGTGGATCGAAACCACGCTCTGCTAAACAAAAATTTTGCAACATTTTTTTTTTTTTTGGTAATTTTTTTTTTACATTTTCATTACAGATAAAATGCATTCTTTGATCACGCCATTATTTTATTAAAATACACCCGAGAATTATTCTTATTATTCTTATTATTAATTGAAATATTCAGACGACTTGTGAAAATCCACGTACCAACTATTTCTAACATAATTAATGAGACTGTGTGTTTAGCGGTTATTTTTTTTAAAACGTAAATCAAAAATGAATATTGCAAAACAAACATTTAGCTTAATCTTATGTTCGTTTATGATAATATAGGCGCCTACTCAAACGAGCAATCAGAGTGGCACGGTTACGAGTTGAAACAAAATACAATCATAATGGTTACAAAGGCACGTGAAATATATATAACACGTTCATGACCATAGAAGGCAACTAGCAGAGTGGCGCAGTGGAAGCGTGCTGGGCCCATAACCCAGAGGTCCGTGGATCGAAACCACGCTCTGCTAAATCATAATTTTTTTTTTTTTTTTTTTTTTAACTT